TTATTCTTTATAGGAAAAAATTGTTTGGTATTCATCATTTTTGGAACTCATCACGCCTCCCGAAAGCAATTAATGATGAGTACTGAGGTACCATTGTATATAGAAACAGATCTACCAGCTAATCCAAGATAAACCATGCATGATTTGTTTGGATTCCAGTCCACAAGTATATATGAAAGAAAAATGTGCAATCTTCTTTTGCAGTCATAATTTTCCGAAATCAGGCATTTTTTTTGGGACTGACAAGGCTCAAATAAATAATGTTGAAAATAGATAGAGATTATCACATTAAATCAAGTTTCACAGTTGTTGCGTTTGTAAAGTAGTGCTTTTTGAAGTATGTTGCCTGCTAAAGAGTTAGATGGTTTTGGATTATTTTCATGGACCAATATGGCTAGGATTTTTTTATTTGTCAAAAAATGAAATGGATACTATGGAGAAACTTTATTATAGCCACAATTTTCAAGCATACTGAGAAAAATATCAGAATGCGGCTTAATACTGTATGTCTTTGGTAAGCCTTCACAGTCAGTAAAAAACCAGAATATATTCTATTACATAAAAATTCTAATGTATAATTTTCCCTGGACTAAGATAACCTTTGGTATATAAACTGGTTAGGTGGCTGTTTTCTCTTTCACTAATGTAATTTAGTGTTCCCTTAGTTATGTTTTTAAACTATTTAATAAAATATTGTTTTGATTATCTTGACCACTTTTTTTAGTTAAAAGGTAATACAAAAGAACTGAGGAAACAAAACAGAAAAAAGAGCTTCTGGAATGAAGTCATGCAAACAAACTAAAAATGCACTAGTTATTTGAAAAAAAAACCTGACAAAATTAATTTTGGGATAAAGAAGTGCTGGTCCTTTAGAAAGTTAATATAGAAAATTTTAAATAAAAAGATCTATTAAATATGTGAAGAAAAATGCAAACTACATCCAACAGAAATAACACACATTAATACAAATCAAGAATGGAAACTGAAGTTTGCAATTGTCCTAATTTAACTATTACAATAATCTGCCATTTTTATCGAACAATTCAACTCCACTTTGTGTAGCTTCATGATCTTGGTGGCAGGCACCACTGAACACAAATACCACCCATGGACTGCTTGTGAGCCTACACTACATGTTCATTTCATAGTCTTGGTGGAAGAGTATTTTTATTGTGCTGCTCCCAGGTTCATATGGAGGTCTCCTTGGAGAAAGTCACAATTGGTTTTAGGCAGTGTCAATATTCAGCAGCACAAATGAAAGGCACTTCCACTGAGAAGCTGAAAGGGCCATGAAGAGTAAAGAAGCTAGCATAAGCCACAGAGAGCAAGCAGAGTGACTCCTTCTATCACTACAAATTGCTTTGAAGATGGTGGCAAAATTTGCTATACGAGTACTTTATAGGGATGATCCAACCTATTAAAAATATTTCATTAATGAATCAAGTCGACCATCTGGCATTTTGCAATTAGATAAAATAACAAAGTCAAAAGTGTATATACAGACAAAACCTTCACATATGTATCAAACTCTGGTCTGTAGCAACCATGGATATGAGAAACTATAGTATTTGCATACTGCCATATATAAAATCAGTGCTGGTAGCCACCATAACTTACACTTACAGAACAGAATCATATATTCTACATTAACTTAAGGGAATGCCCTTAAATCCAAGATTTGATGACATTTATAATCATTCTTATTATCCATGCTGCATCAAGAAACAGATTACTTCTCTTGTTCTGAGTAAGATACTTAAATATTAGAATACAGATATGCAGGCTAGGCCAAGGAGCTACCAGTTATTAATGTATATCATTCAGATCCATTCCCATTGCTTAAGTAAAAAAACTTTAAATAAACAAAACATCCCAGAAATGTGATGTACCTGAAGTATAAATGGCCTCAGGACAAAATATTTTCTAAGACACATCACAATGATCAGAACTAGCCAAGCAAGAGGTTGCCATTATAGCAATACTGCAAAAAGGGTTCTGGAAAGAGCAAACCAATATACTGTACATTTCATGCAACTTTGACCCAGAAATGTCAAACAATTTCTCACTGAAAGCTTCTACATTCATTCAGATTTGCATTGCCAAAAGACTATAATTGGCTAAAATACTAAGTATATATTGTCCTCAGTGCATAATGCTTTGTGTTTTTTTGGGACTGCTGCTGAGCTGACATGCTATAGAATTCTCTGAGACTCAATTTCAATGAAGCAAGGAGTCACATTTGTCCCAAAGGTGCTTTTTCAAAAGACAAGTGGACTGTTTTTCCTTGAAGCTTCTCATCCAAGAAGATTCTTCAGTTTCACTTGTCATCCAACTGAAGAAGCTTCTTGGATAAGAAGTGAAACGTCTTCAAGGAAAAACAAAGTCCACTTGCCTTTTGAAAAAGCATCTTTGGGACAACCATGATCTGGATGACTGAGAATCTCCACAGAGTCACATTTATTGTCTTCCCCAGATCTGCAATGTACTGCACTGGTTAGAGAGTGCTTCTGAAAATGGAAAGCAATGTAGCTGAAATCCAAGCAATTCAGGAACAAGCTTTAAAACAATGAAAACAAAGGTTCTTCCAAACACAAATACGGTCCTGTTGAATTGGTCACTCCAGATGGAGAAGATTAAAAAAAGGTTCATATAAAAAGAGCATCAACATTTGGAAGAAAATGTCCTGTCTTCTAATACATATGCCAGAGGACCAGAGCACTGAATTGAACTGGACATCAATTTTATAATTAGGTCTGTTTGGGCTACCCATTGGTTTTGGTTTTTTTTAAAAAAACTTTTATGCAGCATAGCAATGCTATGAAAGCATTTATTTGGTGGCGACAAAAAAGGGGCAGAGTCACTTCCTGTTTCTGTACCAGTCTTAGTTGATAGAAAAAATAAGAGAACCAATAGCTCAGATAACATCTAACAGATTATGTTTCTTTGTACCAGCCCTATCAATCTTAAAGTGATCTGCAGATTGTGCTTAATTGATAAGGACGATTTAAGTCAAAATATGTTTTAATATTTAAAAGACAACAAACAAGTAAGCTAACAAACAAAATGCTTCACTAGCATCAGGAAATAAATGCATGCTATCTCACAAGAGGACTATACTTGAGAAACTAAACCTTTTAAAGTTATATGGACCAGACAGGAACTGGAGAATTCTAACAATGTTTCCAACACTCTCAACTGTGTCAAATGTGGCAGTTTGAAAGGAAATATTTATTTTACTTTAATATTATTCAATGTTTGTGGCCAGCCATTTCATCTAAGCAGCTCAGGGCAGCTCACAACAGGTTAAAATAATCCAATAAAAACAAGTTAAAGACCAACATACTATATCAACATATAAAAACCACCCATAATTCTTTTAAATCAGAAAATGTTTAATCCACCCTATATCAACTCAACACAGCTACTGTAAAAGTTCCCCACCATTACCAGACCATCCAGATATGGCAGAAGAGCTACGTTTTTAGGCCTTACTAAAGGCTGAGAGTGTCAGGGCCAATCTAAGGTTTGGGGGAGGGAGTGATGTTCCACAGGGCATGAGCCATGGCAGAAAAGACCTGATAGCCTACCAGATGATATTCTTTCATAGATGGTATCCATAACATACATCTCTTATTAAACTGCATTCAAGCAATTTGCCATCACAGTTTAAAGAGAAGTTCTAGCCCCGTGATTAATGGCAATGTCTGTGTGTGTATGATTTGCATTATGATTTTACGGAAACCCATGTATACCCTTTTATTTTTGTGATATATTGCTTCAAAGAAGTCAGAACCAGCCACACTTGGGTTTCTGTCCCTAAGTGCCAACCTGTGCAAGCATTTATCAAATGTGTCCATTACTTAGAATACAGAATGCAGTGCCTAATTGAATCTATAGCTAGTGAATGCCTGGAGGCTGTGGGAGTCCGAGTGGAGGGGGACCAGCTCAGGCTCAATCCTGACAAGACCGTTGCCTGAGGGCATTTCTATCACTTGGATTCGGACATGCTCCCCTTTAGTCCTACATCGAGTTGCACTGCCTCCTTCAGGACTGATGTGTACTTTGTGGATCAAGGAACAGGTGGCAGCTGCAAGATTTCGTACCTCAATACACCATGATTAAGTACAGATTCAAGTATCACCAATTGTACCTGTATTTGCCCTAGGAGGTCCTTAAAGTACCTGCTTATGATCTAGTCATCTTGCCTGTGGTCTACGGCAATGAATTCTACATGGATTTGCTTTTGTAGGCTACATGGAGCTACAGCTAATCCAGAATGCAGAGGCATGGGTTATTGTGGTATGTTTTGTTACGCCCACAAAATATCTTTTCCTGGAGTTCCATAGACTTAATTGGGAATGAAATTCAAGCTATGGTTATCCTCTATAAAGCCCTTCATGGCATAGGCTTGTTACTTGCTGCCCATCCTATATGGTTTGACAAAGTTGGCATTCTCAAGTTCTATTGATTAAGCAATGCCACCTGAAAAGCCAAGGGACTGGTGCTTCTCTTCCGTAGGCATATTCTCTGGAATGATGTTCCCCCAGAGATCCATATAACCTCACCCTACTTTATTTGTATGAGCCTTAAAATCTGGCTCTTTTCCTAGGCCTTGAGCTACAATGGTGGCAGTCTCCTTGTGGGTTGTCTGATTTATGAGATGGGAATTGGTTTTCTCTGTTTTTATAGATAGAACATGGACCAGAGTTGTCATAAAGTCAGGTGGTTTACAAATTTAACAAAAAAACCTCTCCCTACCATAATAAATATGAAAAGAGAAATGTTGTCATTAAAGGGGCAGAGAATCTCTGGAACAATAGGTTGGTGGGTAGAATGGGCCCAGCAATCTACTTTCCAGTAGAGATAGCTTTGACAGGAAGATTAAATCGAGAATCAAGTTATTATTTAAAAAATAAGTACATTCCTAAACACATTATTTCCACAATGCCTTTAAATTTTAAAATACTTAGTAAACATTTAAAATAAACAAATTAAAGCTATATTTTATGATTGGTTTTTATTTTTACTCTGTTCTCTAATTTTCGGTATATTTATACTTTTATATTTACTGAATGGCTGGTTTGTACCACATATAGATTTTGATATACCATTTCCAAAGTCTATAAACACATAGTGCTACAATATCATTCATCCAGCTATAAACTGAGATTATCTAAAGTACATCACAGCAATCCAAGCCAACCAGGACAAAGAAATTCATCTATATATTAGTAGAAAAATAAAGATCCAAATAGCATGTGTAGATATTGGATTCAATTTGTGATATGATCCAAATATTCTCTCCACTGGGTAACAGATGTATATTTTCTGGATAAGGACATTCCTTTTCTACAAAATACGTTTCTACTCCTGTTTTTCCTATTCCAACAACTTGGGTGAAACATGGAAAATGATACATAGAATATCATCTTTCTTTTGTTCTTCTGTATTGACATTGAAATAATGCAGATTATGATAACATGTCTTCCAGTTTGCAAAATAAATAGATTCGTTCTAAAATGTTACAAAATAACATTAAGTGGGATTTCATCTATTAGTTGCAAAATATAAACAGATAGAGTTTGGTGTTCTTTTTGTCATGTTAATTTTTTAACTGAAAATGGCAAGCTGCCATATATTTGCACAGTAAAGAGTAACGACACTGAATTATACTAAATAAAATTTAATTAACCACTAAGTCTCTTTCTCTCTCCGTCTCAGCATAAATTACCATGTTTTTCCTTTTTCTTACTTGAGTGTTTAAAGGTCCTGTAACAAAGCAACCGTTACCCACTTCTAGTTTTGGAATTTGAATGGGATTGTGAGTTTAAAATTTGCAACTGATAGACTCAGAAGCATTTTGTTTACTTATGGATAGTTGTTAAATCTTAGAAGCAAAAGATTTGACATTGTATATGGCAAATAAAACAGTTTGCGAAGCGGGAAATTTATTATATTATGTGCGTAACTACTTGATAGTTTAGTGAACTTTCACAAAACTAAAATTCTTTATTACATGTTACACAACCCATTTTAATTTTCTCAATTTATTGTATTGGTTTCTGTTCACGACAGGGAAAAATACGTCATGTTTCTGTCTAAGAGGAAAATAATATTTTGCTGTTCACTACTAACATCAACAATAGTTCTTGTTGCGAACCGTTTAACTATGTATTCTACAAATGTCATGTTTCAATAGCAATCATAATATATACACTTTAGAGCCCTTTTCCTTAATTGTGCAAAAGTTACATATTGCATATTTGATTTTTTTTTCTTTACAGTTAATGAATTACTTTTAATGACATGCATTCACTTAACCCAAGTCTTTATTATCATGCAGGCAGCGGTCTTTTTCTTTTACATTTTTTTTGTTGTTCATCATACCCTCTGTGGCTTCATCATAATTCAAGACGAAATGCACTTTTCTTATATTTTTAAAAGATGGGACATTTTGAGGAACAAAAAAAATGCTTCGTTGTGTTTCTGATCATGCAAAGCATCCCTGAAAAAGGAGAAAAGGCAGATGCCATGAGGACCCACATTGTTGAGGGCAATATGCTGACTCCGTAAACCGCTTAAAGAGGGCTAGAAAGCACTGTGAAGTGCTATATAAGTGCTATTGATATGAGGATGACATATCAACAATCTTTCTTCAATTCCCTGCAGTAAGAGAGTTGGAAAACCACGCCACTCAGATTCAGTGGCACGTCTTTCTTTGAGATAAGAAGGAGAAATATTTTTCATGCTACTTCTAGACCACAGAACCCTGATTATAGCCACTCAGAGTCACCTTATCAGTGAGATGCGTGGCATATAAATTTAATAAATAAATAAATAAATAAAATAAAAACTACCAACTTCTGAGTCCACATTTTCTTCAGCTGTTGAGTCAACAACTTTGGCCTATGCTTCATTACTTTTTAACATTATGCTATTTTTAACCTAATTATTATTACAACCCCTCCTTGTTTAGCGGCTACCTTGTTTAGTGACAGTCTGTAAATAAGACAGTAGTAATAAATTAATAAATTAGTCAGTTTTTGGCTAATATGGGAATTTAAGCCCAAATGTCCGCAACGGACAAAAACACATGCTGGCGTGAGAGTAAGGCTGGCATTGCTGCACAGCAAAACTTTTCCTAAACGAGGTTGCAGCACCCAGAAATCTTTGCAATCTCTTTCTCTTGTCATGTGGCTTGCTTTGCAACCATTTAGCTTCTGATATAGGACATGAATTGCATTTTAATTTTATTATTTATTGATTTCAATTATACTTTTTAATTCTAAGCTGCCCTTCATACAAGTTGTTACAGCATGAAAAATGGGAGATCAATGCTGTCTTTTTTCTTAATCTAGGCAACGATACACACACACACACACACACACACACACACACACACACACACACATACACCAGTAGTGGGTTTCAAATCCTGTTGCTACTGGTTTGCTCGTGGTGCGCGCACTTTTGCGCGCAATGCTTCTGCGCATGCACAGAAGCGTCTGGGTGGGTGGAGCCTCCCGCCACTGCCGCTACCGGTTCGCCCTATCTGGGGGCGAACCGGTAGCAACCCACCACTGACACACACACACACACACATATATAATGTAAGTAGAAAATGTGTTTGTATATAAGTGCACACTCTGTTCCAGACACATGCATACTTACAGAATTATGTAGAAATATCTAAACACTGGTTATATCAAAATGTTAACTGTTAAAGAATATAGGCTTTGCTTTAGAATAATTACAAATAATGGAAACAGTTTTTACACAGCATCCAATTAAATGATTATAAATAATGTATTGTTGAAAACTGCTATCTGAACCTCATCTAGATATGCAACTTCTTCATTTTACCATTTTACCATTAAAATAGGAACAAAACTCAATACATTAGTCGATACAAGTGCAGCATACATTTTGATATTCTCTCTCCATATCTGCAAAAAATGTATTTCTATTCCTGTGCATAGATTGAGCTTCTTATAAAAATAATTATAATAAAATATAGAAGATAAACTTAATCCTTTGAATGCCATAAAAATAATTTTAAGCAGACACCAATTCAGCAAATCTTCAAAAGACTTATATTAGCCATCCCATACATCTGTTGCAGATGATATAAAGCTATTTATTTCCCTGCCTAAAATCCAGATTTGCTCTTCCATACTAGTGCACTTTGCATAGAGACGTTCTTCGCTTTTAAGAAAACCATTCAGTTTCAACCACATAGGAAACAGTTACTGGGGAACCCTTCCTAATTCCCATGTAAACAAACTTCTTAGCCTTCCCTTGCTTGTATAAACCAAGGGATTGAAAAGTCTTTGGTGGATTGTCGGAAGAAAAAAGCAAAACAGAACTTCATCTAAAATAAGGTGCTCCCAAAGGGAAGGGGCAATGTGTAGCATCATCAAGGTCATACTCTCGTTGGTTATTGTTTTGTTTTGGGGGTCTTCTTTCAGTTGGGAGGCACCCCGGCTTCTTTCTGACGTAGTCTTTCTTTCTGTTGTTTAAGAGAAAAGGAGTTTATTATCATTCTTTGCTTTAGTTTTCCATCTGTTTTCAAACTGCAGAGAGTATATGGTTTAGGCCAAAAGAATGGAGCAATTTGAAACCAGAGTAGACATAAGCTTTTCCCTCCCTCCATTTTCTCCAGAAAATTAATTCCTGAAGTGCCACACTAAGACAGGAAGGATATGTTTTTAAAGCAAGTATAGATCAAAAACCCTGTACATTTAGTCAACGGTGTATGTCTGTAAAAATTACAAATGTGAAATAAACTCAGACGTTTAAAAGTTGTAGAAGTAAAAAAGAAAGAGTAACGGCATGATTTGAAGCCAGCTACTTGTAGGGATTTTCCATTCCTTTTCCTTCAAAAATGAGAATTTTACACAGTCCATACGGTGAACCCAGTGGTGAAATCCAATTTTTTTTACTCCCGGTTCTGTGGGCGTGGCTTGGTGGGCGTGGTGTGGCTTGGCGGGTGTGGCTTGGCCATGGCTTGGTGGGCGTGGCAGGGGAAGGATACTGCAAAATCTCCAATCCCACCCCACTCCTGGGGGAAGGATATTGCAAAATCTCCATTCCCACCCCACTCCTGGGGCCAGCCAGAGATGGTATTTGCCGGTTCTCCAAACTACTCAAAATTTCCGCTACCGGTTCTCCAGAACCTGTCAGAACCTGCTGGATTTCACCCCTGGGTGAACCGCATGATACCATAACTGTAGACCAGACCAAATACAAACTCGATAGCCATACATTATCATATACTATTTTGGATAATAGTATATGATTTAATTTGCTATTAAACTAATTAATAGCAAACTCTCTTTTGATTTCATATACATGCTCAACATCAGATTGTCCCGAAAATAAATAGTCATATCTTTGTTACTAAATTGGATTCAGTTCCCTGTAGCTTGCTGGTATCTGTATTTAGCATCTACATGCAGCAAAAGAATTTTCCATCTGTCTACATAAAAAAGACAGTAGCCAATACTGGACAAAATCCAGCAATCCAGAACTTGTTCTTAAATAAATTAAAATGACAAATTTAGAGGACATCTTACAGGAATGTGCTATTAATTATCTTTTCTATCTACAGTGTCATATTAATATTACAGAAATGGAAAGAATCTTGAAAGGCAAAAACAATGCCAAGGATGATTTAATGCAGCAGGAAAGGATGCCCATGCTCAATTGACATTCAGATTATTTTTTTATACAGAAACATGTTAAGAGCTACAATGATTTTGTAAGCTGGCTCCAAGATATAATGCCATTGCAGGAGAAAGCCTTTAGGACACCCATCCCAAAATTGAAAATACATACTTGCTTTTCAATAGATTAACTACATAAGAATTAACTAAAACTTCCAGCTCTAATTAAAACAGAACCAGAAATCAGAATCACAATAAGAATGTAACATACCAGACTAGCAGTTGGATTGATTTTCCTAGTTTCCACTTTCTTTTCTGAAGTTAACTTGCTCACTGATTGCTGAGCCATTCGGAGTCTAAAACAGAATATAAGCAAGTATTATTAGAGCTTTAAAAATTATATACCACATAAAAGTTGTTTTCCTAAATAGCTATACTTTATAAAGCAAACACACAAAATCTACACCAAAATCTGACAATTTTGGAAAAAATATTGTCAACAATTTTTAGAACCAGTATAGGACCTGACCTATTTTACATTCACTACCAGTGAGAGTTTTCCTAACAAAATGTCTTTTACTGAGATAATCATTGATCCAACCCCTTAATCATATTAGCACTGATTGGGAGCAGTTTCCCAGAGCTTCTCCATCCAATGAATTTGGGGTGTTTAATTGCAAAGCATATGTTCTATTACTGAACCATAGTCCTTCCCTTGTAAGAAAGCACCTATCAGGCCAGTATGACCTTTATCAAGGTCATTGCGATGCAGTACCAATTCCAATCAATAATGACACCAAGATGCAAATCCTGTGACATTCCAGGCATTTTGTAGTTTGTACTGAAGACATATATTAAACTGTTATACATTGGCTGTCTTGCTCTTAATTCATGGATTGTTCTTGATCTCTAATGACCATTTTGATGGTGTTCAGAAGCAAGTGGTCCACATTACAAACAAACAAACAAAAAATTGCTATGCATTCCTACTACCTGGCTCACTGAGAGATCAAACTGTAATTTTTATCTAACACTGGAATGTCTTGTTGAACAGAGTTGAGTATAAAGAAAATTTCATCCATGGAATTTAGCGGCAAAACCTAAGCTTCTTTAATAACTATTTTGGTTGAGTCAGTAGGACTATAATGTATAATACAGTTAGTTGGATTACTGGTTAGTGGCACAGAAACTGCAATAATCTTGACTAGCTAAATTGTATCAGTTGTCCATTTCTAAGTGACATTTAAAGTAGCCCCATCAAAGTACTGTTTTATTATAAAACGTTGTCAGTCAATGGCCCAGCAGATTACTTCAGAAAATTCAGTTACTGTGAAATATGGAAACAAGAACTGCAATGCCAGTTTGACACTAATTCAAAAAAAAAAAAAAGAACAGAATTGTCTCCTTAATGGTTCATAAATCCTAGAAAATAATGGAAATAAGTAAGACTACCTGTGCACTTTTCGCTGCGCCCTTAAGACCCTCTTCTTCCAGAAAGCCGAATTGGCCTAATTACGATTTTTATTATGGGTGTATGTATGTTTTAATTTGCGGGCCAATTTTATATATTGATTTTAATTTGGTTTTAAATTTTATAAATTTATGTCTTTTAATATGGATATACACCACCCTGAGTCCTTCGGGAGAAGGGCAGTATAGAAATCTAATAAACTTTAAACTAGAATTTTCTATGGAAAAACAAACAAGCAAACACTTTTCTATAAAAAAATTAAGCACTAAAACTTTCAGTCCAAATTGTCAATATTATCGACTTTGGAGAGAGGCATTTTTAAAATCTAAATGTTTTTATAGTAGGTCAAATATCAAACACATATATAGTCATTTACACTTATTACCCAATTCAATATGATTAACAAAAGTGCATATTTTGTAATTACAAACATTAAATAAAATTGTTCACATGTTAACAATGTTAACCAGCTTTAAAATATTTTTTTGCTATTTGCTAGTATAAAGTTTTCATCTTTTCAAGAATACCTAAGTGTTGTGTCCAGGCTGAGGATAGAAAAATGTTGCTTACTTAACCCCATGATCTCCTTTTCATTCAAAGGATCAAGGGTAGAAAGGATAGGAATTAAGGCATGAAGTGATTTGATACCAAAAGACTGATTTGGTATCAAATCCAGCAGAATGGACCTTATATATAATCAGCTTCTACCACAATACATTCTCAAAACATATTAAATTCCTTATGATTAACATAATTTGGGGTATTTATAAAAAAGGTTCCAACTATACTAATAAAGGAGAATATTTGTAGCTCAGGGTTGACATAAAGGGTCCTTGTTGCTCTCTGAGCTTGCTTGTTTTCTTGCAGACATTTCATTATCCAAAGTAAGTAACATCATCATGCTGATATGGAGTGCTGATTGCTGGTGGTCTTTTTGTTCTCTTTTGGGCTGGGTGATAGTCTCTTTTGCATAGTCTATATGCATGTTGTTAATGTCTGTATGTCTATTGATGACTGTTTTGACATTCAACAGGTTCCAACAATAATTGAGAGCTAGTTTTGTGGTTAAGGCATCAGGCTAGAAAACAGGAGACTGAGAGTTATAACCTCATCTTGGGTATGAAGCTGAGTGAGTGACTTTGGGCCAATCACCTTCTTCCTGTCCTAGGAAAGAGGCAATGAAAAACTGCTTCTGAAAAAATCTGGCCAAGAAAACTGCAGGGATTTGCCCAAGCAGTCTCTGAGAATGACATATGACTGAAAAGGAAGAAAAAAGATCAATAACTATAATATATTATGTTAAAAGTTTTTTTTTTAAAAAGTGTTCTTAGCTTTTTCAAGGTATGTTGTTCAATAGATATAGAAATAGTTAATTTTTATTTGGCATTTATCATTACAAACTTAATGCTTGAGTCAAGTTATTTTCAGGATGTGGGTCTGTGTGCAATTACTTTTGAAAATTAATATACATAAATATTGTTTTAGGCTGAGTTCATGCATAACATCAAACCATGATTTGTCACCATGAGAATAAATTTATAGGGAATAAAGTAAGTATAACAGAAATAAGTCTGTTATAATTACAAATAATTTTGTAATTAACTGCATATTTCAAACCATGATTACAGAATAACCTAGTGTTTTTCAACCTGACAACTTAAGATGGGGAGGGCTTCAGTTCTCAGAATTCCCCAGCCAGCTATCTTCCAGTTGAAATCCATTCATTTTAAAGTTTCCAAGTTTGAGAAACACTGGACTAGATTGTTACAGGTACTATATAGAGCCGTGATGGCTAACCTTTTCCAAACCAAGTGCCCAAAGTGCGCACGTGCGCCCGAACCCCCAAAATGCAATGTTCTCCACGCATGATCCATGCTCCCATGCATGCACATCCACTGCGCGCCCCTGCCCCCCTGCGCATGCACGGCAGAGACCCAAAGACCAGCTGGCCGGCGGGAGGCGGGTGTGCACGTGTGCAGTGGAGCTGAACTGGGGCAACGGCTCGCGTGCCATAGGTTCGCCATTACAGATATAGAGGAATGAACATTTACACTTCAAGAAGAAAAAATCAGCTGTTTGAATATGATATTTTAGAATTTTCTGACATTCATAGGGTAATATGAATGGGATATGATTTATTTGCTCATGACAGAAGGTTTGATGAAAAAGAATTGAATAAAGTTTTTTTTTTAAGTAATGCTACTGCTTCTTTTCTGATAACCCTGCCTGTCATTAGTAGGTTGAGATTATTTTTCTCTAGAGCATGGGGGAGATGGTGGAAGAAATTTTTCTCCACTTTGACAGACTAAAACTTGAATACTTTCCTATCTTAAAAGAAAAATTCTATGTGTAAAGAATATATATATATATAGCAAGCAACTTAAAGCCACTTTAAGACATGTTTTTTTTTTTTTTAATTAGATTTATATGCCGCCCTTCTCCGGAGACTCAGGGCGGCTTACAATGCGTTAAGCAATAGCCTTCATACTTTTGTATATTTTTTTTATACAAAGTCAGCTTATTGCCCCCACAAACTGGGTCCTCAATTTACCTACCTTAGAAAGGATGGAAGGCTGAGTCAACCTTGAGCCTGGGGAGATTCGAACTTGCAATAATTGCAGACAGCTGAATGTTAATAACAGGCTTTTAGTCTGTTGAGCTATCCAGGCTCCAGACTTCAATTCCCAGAAGTCATGATTCTGGGAGTTGAAGTCCACCCAACTTAAATTTGCTGAGGTTGCAAAACACTGGAGTGTTTCAAGAGTAGAACAACACAGATGGAGTTTCCCAATTAATTCCTAATTAATCCAACTGAACCACACTGTTTATATGAGTATCCTTTCTAAAAATCAATATCTGTTACTGATCTTGAAAAGAAGGCCTGATAAGGATTTGCTTGTGTTTCTCCTGACTTGCCCTTGTTCTTCATGTGGCTGCTGGTGGCAGTGATGAAATCTTTGTGTGCCATTTCAAGGGCAAATTGCAAGCAGCTTCTATTATGGCTAATTTCAAGTCTAGGAGGACTTCCCCTTCCCTGACATTTTCTTTCTGAGCAGAAAAACTGACTGCTGCTTAAGATTGTTGCCTGTGATGAAAGACACCAATGACCCACAATGTTTGCACACCTCCTTGTATAAAAAGTATAGCAATTTACTGAATTATCCACATCTGCATCTAATTTAAAATAGCTGCTTAAGCAAACGTATGCTTCTAATATTGGACAATTAACATTGTTATGTTGAATGCCAGCTACTTATGTGGCAAGTTGTTCATTTAGGCTCAAGAATAGTAATGTAGTCTTTGCTTGTTTAATATAAGGGACACCCCACACACATACAGACATGCCTTAAATGTTTTGAGTAATTGTTAGCTTCCATCTAGCTTTTCACCAAATGTTACATGAAAAAGGGGATGCTTGTCTGCAAAATTTGTGTTCATTCCCAGTAAGCTACTATATTCCCTACTTTGTATTTCTGTGGCAAATAATCCCATAATATGTTGCTTTCCATTTCCCATTTTAAAATAGAAGCTGGTGTCTATTTAACAATAGAATCTGTTGGGTTTGGCAACAAATACATCTAAATAAATATTCAAAAATTAGAATTGAACTCAACGTTATCATTTTATCGTTTCCACTCAGATATTTTACATATATGCTACAAAAGTTGATTACAAATAATATAATTTATTAGGAAGCATGAGTGTGACTAACAATATACAACAGAAGTTTTTAGTTTTTTTCAGGCAACACCACCTTTTTAAAAAAAATCCCACTACCCTGATCAAGAATCAAAGTCCAAACAATAGAAAATTGGCTGACTTAAATTAACTTTTTTTTAATGCGTGTATTAGTCTCTCACAGAACCACAATAAATTCTTGCAAAACCCATGGGGTTCCATAGAACATAATTTTTAAAAAAGGAAGGAAGGAAGGAAGGAAGGAAGGAAGGAAGGAAGGAAGGGAGGAAGGGAGGAAGGGAGGAAGGAAGGAAGACTATATATACCAGAAAGTTGCAAATGAGACCTACTTCAAAATATAATAATGTGGAGTGCTCCAGAAGTACAAGTTTCTAGCCATGTCTTCTTCTAGAATATTTATTCCATTTCCCTTCCCTAAAACTAAGCATGCCCAGTCATCATTAGGCTGGGTTCAGGAAGAGGAAGTGTTCTACTTCTGCAAACTTTCAAATCACTCCAAGCCTGTTTTATGAGGAATGAGCATGGGGTTAATTTGGCTGTATAAGAAGTGAGAGTCATAAACATGAATTTAATAGGAAGGGGGAAGGAAAATGAAATGTAGCAAGACCACTGGACTGGAAAACATTTAATATTATAATATGTAATTTAAAATGTGTTACGTTTTTAACATAAATTGTTATGTGTACAGTAATAAAATCATTAAATAATCATCCCAATCTCCCCCCTTTAAACCTTCAAACAGTTCAAATCTTAACACAAAAAAGGGTTTTAACTAAAAACTAATAAAATCAGGAAATGATAGAACATGGCACGGCATGGAGTTTGATCTCCACAGCAGGATACCAAGAAATAATGCTGTAAATTCAGTATAGGATTTTGACACTGTGCTAAATGGAGACTGAATCCCACAGGCTTCCCTTTGATGCAAGTGTGGACATATTAACTTCACTTTTGTTTGTCAGTGCTGTCTGCAACACCAATATTGCCTCACTTAAAGTTGTCCAACATGAAAATGCAAAGAGAAGCAATCTGTTCCAAATTAGCACAGCTCCTCTTTCATTTCACTAGCTAGCAATTGGAAGGGGTTAAGAAAGTGTAATTTATCAGATTATATGTGTTTATCTTTTTGTGGGGACAGCATCCCTTTGGTCAATTTTCCTAGGCACCCTGAGGGAATAATCTTTCCTTGAGGTCCATTTGATCTCAAAGAAAACAATGACGCCTGAGAAATACAGGAGTATAATTTGTTGAGTTTGAAAAAGAACAGCTCCCCAGACTTCTAAAATGGTATTAATGGCTTTATTAGAACCTTACCTTTCTTTGGAAATATTTTTGTTCTCCCGTTTCCAAATAGCCTTAAACTCACTGCAGAATTCATGCCAAACCATGAAAACGTAATTCGGTGTGGTCTCCTTTTCACCAGATTTTGGCTTTATTCCATAGTACTTCACCATTTCTTCAAAGCTGGAGGGGGTGGGAGAAAGGTGGACAGCACATAAACTCATTGGGGAAATTCAATGGAAATTTTGCTGGCACAGATTTCTGACTAGAAATTCCAAGCTACAAATTAAAAAAATCAGGTACAAGTAGAAACTGTACCATAAATAGAGACCAGATGCAATATATTAGCTGAATTCAGCTAAGTGAATTCAGTTGACAGATGTCTACATAGGCAATTGCAACAGAAAAAGCAAAAAACAAAAAAAAGCAAAGTGGTAAGTAAGATTTGAGAAAGAATCACATTTTAAAAACAGTTGTTTACGAAAAGGCACTGAATTGAACCATTGTACATTCCCCTAATAAATCTCTAAATAATAGGCTATTAAGTCATGGCAACCTCTTCCTAATTGAAGGTTTTCACGTATTAATATCCTGAAAATACATCATTTGACTCAGAGCAAGCACCAGAATATAGTACTACTGGAGTTACAATCTTATAGTGACTATTCCTAGGATTATTTTCATCTCTCATGTACTGTCTGCTTCTTCATTTGTGTCTTCCAAGCAAGTTGAAAGAACTTATTGCTTAAGGACAATTTAAAAGTTAAATTGGGGGTATTGAGATCTAGAACTAAGTTTCTTATACTAAAGAAGAATGTGGCTGGTGAAACTATGCATATGTTCAGTAGACATTTTGTGAGGTTTTGGATTTTTGACCTGAAAGATGATTATAAAATATTTTTAAATGCTCTTTTGGACAAATAGTAAGCTTATTATCTAGTATTGTTCCTTGATTACTATTTTCTTCTAGGAAGTGACAGAATACTCTCCATGTTTTTAACCAAACAACCTTCCTTTCATATGAAAGGACAGCTGTCACAGGAAAGCTACAACTTTTGCTTTAACTCAGTCCTGTTGGATTTCTCTGTGTACTGTATATATTTTCATCTATAATTTAATCTCCCAAAAGGTTTTAACTGTATGAAAATGCTGGAAAGAGTAATATGCATTTGAAGAAAAAAATCCCAATCCTAATCTTATTTAAGGATATTTTTGAATTTATAATGCACAGAGTTAAGAAAACTAGAGAGCTTACCACTTTTGTGCATTGTCCAGGTGACTTTTCGCTGCCTTATGTTCTTCTACAGCTGCAAAAAGCATTTTAAAATAATTTTAGAAATCTGAAAGTATGCTACATTTCAAGGGTTTTATAATTTAACACTGCTCGTAGAAAAAGGAATATTTATAGTATTAAAATGTGAATTGTAAATTAAGAAATTATGTCATCCTTGTAAACATTATAAGGAAAAGCACTGACACCCTAAAAATATGCCAGAAATACAGAGGCTGGTGTAATGCCATAGGTTCATCACAGCTTTAGTAGAAAGCCATATAAATATGCTTAATAAATGAATAAATAAAATTAAGTTTGATAGTGTATAAATGAGATTGGCTTAAATACAAAGTTGTCTTATGTAGGGTCAGAATTACAAGATTGTTCTACCACATCTCTCCTTTTGCACTGCAATCCCTGTTTTAATCTGATTAGATGTCACCCCTTTGTGGTAGATCAGACTTGGAAACCAAAATTGTGAAGACCAGAACTGCTTTTATTCTTCTCTTTAATACTATTTTATGTTTCTCCCCTCCCTGTCTTTATATATTAGAGAATAGGGGACAGAGTTACGGTATGTTAAAATATTTAAGATCCAGTCAATTTCATACCTTTTGTCCTCACCTGCCATCATTTTCACAATTTACACATGAAGAAACAAAGGAAGAAATATAAGTTGTACATGATTTCAATTACAGGGCCAACATTAGAATTTTAGTTAAAATGTTGTAAAAGAGGCACAAAAACCGAAAGCACAGATCTCTCAAGTTTCCATTCTTACTTCAGCTGAAGCAAATTTAGGCGCTAGGGAAAATAAGCAAAATATTTTACTATACCTGTTATAAATCTTAATAATGCTATTTTCATTTGTATAATACTACACATAATCTGTTTTCAACCCAGATTAATTTGGTCTATTTAGCAAACTTATGGAAGTAAACTGCTTTTAAATTATGTATAAATATTTTTGTACAAGGGCTTGCAAATCGTAAAGTGTTACTGTCCTTACACTTGAGATATTTTGAAAAATATCTTGACATTTTTCAACTACATGATGCATGAAAGTTTAAATACACTTAACAGTAACACAAAAATACTGACTATATTTATACATTCCACGCACAGAGCAAATTCAATTGTTTATTATCAGAGGTAATACAAGGAAACCAAGAAATTATGTTCTATTTAAAAATGGATAATGTTGCCTATAAATTTGTCAAAATTGTGTTGAAGGTCAGTTTACTAGGCAATTATAGCAATGAAGCCAGCAAAGTCGGTTATTATATTTTCATTTTTCTCAGATATATTTGTATATTAACAGAAAGAAGTCTTTTCAAAGAGTTTGTTTTTTTATACACTCAAGAAATGGAACATATTTTAAATTATGTTTCAGTTCATATCCTCTTTTGAAAAATAATACCAAAATAAATTGAGACCAATGATACTATATGTCTCAAAACTCAGTATTTTTCTTGGAAACAACTCCAAAAATGATTTTTTTCAAATATGATTTTCCTGCATTCACATTATTAATCAATCATTATACCCCAACTGTGGTTAAACATGGTAACTTTTTAAACAAAGTATTATTTAACATAACAAGAAAGAATATTTTTCATTTGCTTGTATTCCAAAGAAAACAGAAAGAGTAATCTTTCTGAGATTGTTAAATACAGGCAAACAATTTAAGAAACTGGAAAATTGGTTTTAATCTCTTTTAAACAGAATATGTATGAAACCAATCTGTTCAGCTTTTGAAAAAATAAACCAGACAGACTACACTTTTCCGTATAAAAATGAAGGATTTTTTTTTTTTATGGAGGCAGGGGTGGAGGGTTTAGTGTGCTCAGAAGTATGATGAATTATGTTAATAAGAATAGGAAACAGGTCTTCTCTAAAACAAGAAATTGTCACAAATACCGAGCAAATAAGCATATTGGGTAATACTGAGTTGCAAAAATCGATTACTGTACATGAACCTAACTTTAAAAAAAGCTTATGGTTGTGGTTATTTGAGTTGTTTTAGAAAATAAAAACCCACACAGCATTACTTCCTCCTGTGGGATGCTTAGAATGATTTATGAAGCTGAGGTTATATTTTATACATTGAACTTAGTAAAGATTGATTTCATGCAATCAGGTAAGACTTTAGGAATATAATATGTACAGCAGCCTCTTGCACTTAAGATATAGTTTTCTACAGTGCTGGAAGGGAGAATGGATTAAAGAATTCTCTTCATTAGGATATTTTCGTTTTACAAATAAACATTTCAGGTGGTTGGGAGCATATTCATTTTAAAGGCACAGCAGGAAAATGGCAAAATTGAAAGTAATTTTCTATGGATTTGTGTAGACTTTTTCACACTGTGAATTGCTTCATCTCATTTATTACCTTTCTATTGCTGGTAATGAATTATTCTGCCACATAGTCTTTTAGATCAGAATTAGCATCAGAATTGTAGAGTTTGTGACAGATATTGGAGCAAGAAAGTTATAAGAAGAAATATATGTGTGTTTTATATGGAACATCTGTTTCTTTGCACAAAACATTAAAAAATAATAGGAATTAAAATATAATAATATAGTAAAATATTTTTTAGAATTTAAAAAATAAAGCATATCTTTAAAAAATGATTTTGACAGCTTCCCATTTTATAAATTAATATTTTAAAAAGAACAGGAGAAGGAACAGCATCTACCGGTATGTACAGTTTAGTGTTAGAAGACTATTGTAGTAGGTTTTGGTTCAGTAAAATTGTCAAACTTGAAATTCTAATCTGTATACAAAATTAGACCATGGACAAATGTTTCTCCTATTGGTTAGTTCTATATATAAATATCAAAGCAATAAATGTATTCATAAACAAGGATGGTAAATAATATAATCTCACTGAAAAGATAGGTACTTCTTAATCCCAATATGATTTCCTCAATTCCATATGATGAAAACTCCCAAATTTAGTGGTCATGAAGACTCAATAATCTGAAGCTGAGATGGACATTATCTGGAATTGGTTGGAATCTGCCCTAAATTAGTTTGAACAGAGCAGTGTCTAAATCAATTAAATTAAATTAATTAATTAGATTTAGTTACATTATACTTCACTCTTCTCCAAGCTGATGGAAAATTCTACTTGTTTACCCAATACATCTGAAGAGAGTCAGAATGGGAAAGGTTGGTTTAACTTTCCCCTTTTAATACATTTTTGATCCTGTGTTTACATTTTTAATTTATGTTGCTAATCTGTTTAATCATACGTTTGTGCAAGAAATCTCTGAAACTTGTCATTTTCCCCAGCTTTGGGTTGAGATGGGTCTCATCCTCTTAAAGAATTATATCTGTTTGAGGAATTGTCTTTTCCAGACATATATAGTGTGTACTTTTCACAACTTTTTTCTAATGTTGTATGTTGTCTTTTGGAGTTGGGTGACCTTCTAAACCCCTAATTAATGAATTAAGTAAATAAGAAATATAAGTAAAATAATGTACTTTTCACTGCTAAGGAAAACATCTTGTTGCCTGTTTCTACTTTCTTGCTTCTCAACCACTAAGTGTGTTATATAGTTTTAAATCTAGGCTGAAATGCTTGCTCATCTACACGGACCTAAATTGTAATGAATACACGTATGTGTTAACTACTGTGTATCTTATAATACACCATAATACTAAAAACTATAGATGAAAATTTCTGTAAATCTAAACAGTTTGAATATGAGATCTCAACTGGCCAGCAATCAATTTTCATTGATGATCAAGAAAATCTCAGTTCACGTATAAATAACTTTCAACAAGGAGGCTTATAAATGCAAAGATCATATTGTGTAGTCTTTCTGTGGATAGTATAAACAGTATTATAAGTGTTGGTTTTCTATATATTTTCCAACACTTAAGGAGAACCATGGACATGGATCTGCATAAAATATTATATTAAAAATTATATTGACTTTAAGAAAATTCAATAAAGCCTATTAATCTGGAATAAAATTCTATACATTATCACAAATAATTCTGATGTAACTTGGGATCATTTCTATTCCCAAAAATAATTCTAAATTTACTTGAAGAAAATTATGTGTTAATTTCAAAGCAAACAGAAGATACAGTCTGCTATTTTAAACTGGAACACCCAACCTATATTACTCACTGCATTTCTATTACTTATGTATATATTTTCTATAGATTGCATTTAGATCTATTATTTATATTGATTTATAGTGACCTTTTGCTTCCAATAGCAACTGCTTGAGCATACAAACATTCTTGAAAAAAGAAAACATCTGTATGATCACATCTAAATAAGAGTTGTGATATTCCAGGATAATTGTTCTAACTCTGGCACTCCTAATATTTTTCCAGTTGCCTGCAGCTGTTGTAATTCATGGGTATGGAAAGAAAGAGAAAAATGTCTATGTATGAAGCAATGAAAATCATGAACACAATAAATGTTTGGTTATCATTGGAATTTTGAAAACATGGAAATTATGATTTTTAAAACTATTCTTTGTCTCATTAAAAACACAGATCATAGATGAAAGAAATTATGCACTGTGAAGCATATTCCTGATGATTCCAAATGACTGTTTCATTTTGTTTTTAACACTAATGAAAAATATTCACTAACTGAGACAGTAATGTAGCATATCATGCATTGCTTGACAGTTATCCAGGAGTTTCTTCCCAGACCATTCCTTTAAAAAATAAAAACAGCTGCCCTTGATATACTAGTATCTTCTGCCTTTTCTGTAACAAATCACTTAAAGTTCTTTTTATATGGGGGTGATATTGAATATTATGTACAAAAGAGATCTTAGTGTACCAAGAGATTGAAAAATAGATCTTCAGTAAAATGAAAAATACAAACCATTTATAAGACAATGCAGTGCTTAAAAGGAAAAGCAGTGTTTTTCCAGCATTTACAAACCTAGAAAGCTGATAAAAAGTGCAATTTTGGTTTTATACTTTTTTTAAAAATGCGGTCTTTACCATCAAAATATGTGGCACTTCTAAATGTGAAAATGTGTAATTTCCCTCAAATTCCATTCAATCATTCTGTGCCACACTTTTGCTTTGTTTATTGTTTATTATATTTTTATTCTGCTCAATAACCAGATTATCTGGAGACATTGCTATTTTGCTGATGAACAGTTCTATAGTCTCAAAAGTTTGCATTCAGCTTGATGACCTGTGACTTGCCCTAAGAAAGTTACAGCGTAATATATAATATTTTTTATGTTGGAATGGGAAGAACATGAAATGTTCTGGTTTTACTTTCTCCTCTGTAATCATCATTATTATTGCTACTGAAGAGCAATTTTGCTTGTATATCTTTATTAATTTCAAATTAAAAAAAAACTACATTTGGGGAGTGGTAAGAGGTGAAAAATAAGTGGCTTGAATCCCACCCAATGGAAAATTATTAAATTAAAATTTTATCTATTTTTCCATTCTGCAATTTGATATCCAATAATATCTGCAACAATATTGTCATGGTTAATCAAGAAATATTAAAATCAAAATGAGAGTATTTACAGATTTCTAAACTGAATGAAGAAAATTACCAAGATTATATATATTGGCAAGTTAAGCATGCAAAGGCACGTAATTATGCATACCATAATTATATTATGGTATAACCCTAAGCATGCATTTTCAGAATGAAATTGCACTGTTTTTCAAAGATAGTTCCAGAATTGTACTGTAAAACATTTTCTAAAATTACCAGGGAATCTGCTGAAAGAATGACACCCCTGCAGAAAAGTACAGTCTATAGAGATTAACCACACATAAATCACTCTTGGTAAATACAGTTGGTCAACCACTCATTTTTACCTAACCATTTTACATTGTGTTTATATGTACCAGATAATTTCCACACACTAAATATCATACTTCTGGTTTAATTTCCACCTATTCCTGAAGCCCTGCAATCTAACCGCCCAACCATTTTTAAAAAGTGAAATGCTCTCCTTCTGTCTGCCTTTCTTTCACTGACACACACACATGAAATAAGAGAAAGATGGATGGTTATATAGAGATCAAGGTTTAGATATAGTTTAAGATAGTTATGCCTATCCATTCAATGGGATGGTAAGCAACAGAAATGAACTTTGTGGATAGAGTTAAATAAAAATGGGGACTTTCTCCAAAGACCCAATAGGAGTTGTCAAGCATGCAGAGGAATCTTTCTGTGGAAAATGAAAAACAACCAAAATATGGCCTAATATGAGTCCCATATTGTAATTGAAAGGGTAATTCATGTGAAAAGAAGTGGCTTCTAGTTTTTTTCCCCTAGGTTGATCAATGGATTCACTTTGCAGTGGGAAACCTATTATATATATACCTGTAAGGGGCGTGCATAAGCGCACCAGCATGCCTACCGTCCTTGTCCTAATGTTTCTTCTATTTGTATCTATTTTATGTATCCAATCCATGCTTATACTTATTACCTAATACGTTCTTGACAAAATAAATAAATAAATTATTGCTACTGAGTTTATGAGGACGCTTCGTACATGTATTACATTTCTTTTTAGAAACGTTAGTAGAGAAATAAAGTCTGTGTATATAATGGTATAGTTGCTGGATTACAAACTTATTGTACATTAAATTAGAAATACTGTAAATCTTAGTGAAGGCAGTGAGATCTTCTGTGTAAATATGTTTAGCATTATATACAAATATAAAGAATACTATGTTACCCATATAAAACCACATTAATAAATTACTGTTTCAATATATTAATACTAGTATATTGTGACTAGCATATAAAGACAATTATTATTTAATGCCAGTGACAAAAGATCCACTCAAAAAGTGAAAGAAACAAAAGTGAAAGTAGAATGATTCCAAGAAGAGAAAGTATAAATCCTATATCACAAACGATTTGAAGATAGGGAATGGAGATAAGAAAATAGGATATGGATCTACTTACTGAACTGAACTCTAAACTGAAGTTGAAGAATTATGTTTGGAATGCCCCAGAACCATGTGAAGATAAGCTAAGGTAAATGATGTAATTTCTGAAACCTGCTGAAAATGTTTTTTCACCTATATAAAGAAATGTGAACCACATTCTGCATAAATCTGAATCAATAATTAAAAGCAGATTTGTATTGAAATATATCAAGAATGGGAATGTGCTTAAACAGGTTGGACAGTATGTACCTTCACAGTAAAAATCTTCAAACTTATCCTTAAAGGGCTGAAGGTGTTCTTCAGATGATTCTCTGAAAACAACTTTCATTTGTTTTTCACAACCTACAAAAATAAACTCAGTGTTAAACAACAAAACACAAAGCCTCTAATAAAGATTAATAAATCAAATATTCTCAAACAACAGTTTATATCCTACTAATAGGAATAAATACCCACCAGAACTGTAACATACTTTACGAAAAGAATTTCTAAATTAAGAAAAACAGGCTTAAATGTCCAGTCATTTAGGTGATTTATTATGGAGTGAATTTGTAATAAAATGACTTAACGCATCTTTATGAAAAACAGTCTCCTACATAGCAACAGTCTTGCATTGTTTAGCTTCACTATCACTAACAGGCTTCGTTCCATGAAACAGAAATTTCTAGTATGAACGATTCCCAAATTAGCCTTCACTACTCACATTCATTGGAATCACTGTAAGAGAAAATAAGGCATCCACCACATTTTATAAAGTGCCAACGAGTTTCAGGAAGCAGTTTAGTAAAATAGTACAAACGATTTGAACAATAAAAAGAAACTATTCTGATGCATTCAAGAAGTAGAAGTATATTGTTTCACTGCTTATCAAAAGCCTGGCTGCAACCCAGCACACACATAAGTACTTTATCAACTCAGTTCTGCTTACTTCTGAGTAAATAACTTCAATAGTTCCTTTCATTGATCTTTATATTATAAAATTATATAACTTTTTATGTTTTTATTAGTGACTTATTCACATACAAAAATATAAACATTTTCATTATGCACAGAAAATAAATACAATAAATAACAGTGAGAATAGACTTTGGCTGTTTTTGGGATGATCTGTGTAATCTAATTAATTCAATTAGCTTTAAAGCATGTGAAATGTATCTAAAGATATCAGACACTTGCTCTTGGCTTTATAGGTAGTAACATAAGAAAGAATAGTAACAATTTGATTAACACCTTTATATTTGAGTAACTTAATACTGTATATTTTTGATTTATACATATGATTTTCAATGAACAATTCTCCATGTATGTGGGTAAAGCCACCGGGACGGATGGTTTGACAGCTGCTTATTATAAACACTTGCAGTTAGAAATGGTGGGACCACTCAAAGAGTTATTTACCAACATACAATCTGGAGGAGATGTAGCCCCATCCTGGAGGACAGCTTTTATTTCTCTGATTCCAAAAGGAGGAGCAAGACCATACTCAGCCAAAAAATTATAGGCCTATATCACTTTTAAATACAGATTATAAGATTTTTGCTAAAATACTAGCAAATAGGTTAATGACAGTTATGCAACAAATGATTCATAATGATCAAACTGGTTTTATAAATGGTAGACAACTGAAGAGTAATGTAAGTCAAGTGGTTAACCTATTAGAGTATTTGGGGAAGAACAACCAAATCCCTGCGGTACTAATATTTCTTGATGCGGAGAAAGCATTTGATCGATTGAATTGGCACTTCTTATTGAAAATAATAGAATAATAGAAAAGATGCAGTTTGGAGAATATTTTACATAATCTATTAAGGCAATATATCAGAAACAAACAGCGCAAATAATAATTAATGGTAGTTTAACAGATACTTTTAATACAGAAAAAGGAACAAGACAAGGATGCCCTTGTCTCCATTATTGTTTATTTTGACTTTGGAATATTTGTTGAATAAGATACGTGGGTCGGACAAAATAAATGGAATTAAAATTAGGCAGTATGATTACAGAGTACGAGCATTCGCAGATGATTTGGTTGTTACTTTAACCCAACCATTACAGTCATTTGTAGGTTTAATGGATATAATTAAGCAATATGGGCAAGTATCTGGATTTAAAATAAATGCAGGGAAAACGAAGATAATAACTAAAAACATGACTACAAATCAAAAAGGAAGGGGAGAGGAGGGAAGGGGGGAAGGATGGGGAAAATTGTTGTAATATTTGATAAAACTTTTTAATAAAAAAACAACAAAAAACAATTTTCCATGTACATTACTACCTATAATTATGTAAGGGAATACTACAGCTCTGAACTATTTTGAAAAAGCACAAGATATGCCCAGTTTCATAGATTAAGATATCTATTGTTTTCCCAGGGGATGTTCATATTTTTGTGATGCATTTTAAAAACACAAGTCTATGTACTAGGTTCTGAAAGAAAGACTGAGGTTCTCAATATGTTTAATTTTATTTGGGGGGAGGGTTACTAGACCATTAATGCTCTAAACTGAGGACAGGTATTATGGTGTAATTCCTTTTGTCAGTTTTACTTTCTGTGTTCTCACTTATAGCTAGGGGACCTGGCCCATTTCTGACACACTGCAGTGGCACTATTATAAGCACTGGACTGGGCAATGGTGGCATTCACCAGGCTAAGAGTCAGGAAATCACTAGTGTTCCACCACTTCAGATGAAAAAGAATCACATCAAAGCTAGACTGCTTCTGTGTCTACATAATCTTGACACAAGTTAAAATCTTCATTGGTATTTGAATCAACAATATAAAGAAATTGGAACCATCAATTATGGCAGCAGTGACAGTTTGGAGAATTTGACAGTGAGACAATTTTAGAAAATAAAAAGAATAGTAATGGTCTTATTGAAAATGAAATTTCTAATGACATTTTATAATGTGTCCTCTGCATATGTAAGCTGTGCAGAAAGAATGGGGAAAATTAAATTTCTTAATTGATAATCCAATTTGTGAGAAAATGGGAGATACTCTCTGAATTAAAAGAGAAATGTTTTTACCCATCTTACTTCAGAAGGTAGAAATGCACAGTGCAACATTTAGTTCTACAACTAAATGAAATGTTAATTTTTTAAAATTCCTGATCCATTTTTTTAACTTCTAAAGTTTCTTTAAATGTCACACACAGCCTAATCCTAGTCACATTAATTTTGAAGCACATAACACTGATTTCAATGTATCAATGTAAGGTGATGAATCTGGCATTTTTAATGTATTAGTTCATTAAATATATACACTGTCACATATGATCAAATTTTGGTTACAATTTTTTTAAAAAAATTCAATAATATCAACTAAAACACCCAAGATCCAATTTTAAAAAAATCATAACTAGTATTTTTAAATGTTGGCTATTGAACATTTATGTCACATGTAATATTAACAAATTATATTTATGACAAATGCTGCGCAACAGGACAGCAAGAGATCAAGCATTACATTCTGGGTCAAGACTACAACTCTGCTCTCTTGAATCTTCTCTCTAGGCCATAATTCATCAATGTTTCTGAATTAGTGTTAGAGGAAAGTTCCGGTCTTTCTGCAAAGGAATAAAACAAGCCTGGAGATCATAACTGGCATTTGGAGGAAAATACCATCTGCCAAAAAAGTAGCTCACCCATGCAATTGTTCTTCTATTTCTGATCCTCTGTTATTATGTGAAGGAAAAGCATTATTTCATATACATATTATAATTGAAATGTACACTGGAAAGTTAAACCTATAATTAGAACTTGCCTAGAGAAAATTATGCTTAAATTTTGGATGGAAGTGCAAATGTGAAATATAACTGTTATTTTTCAAAATTTGAGTATATGAACTTCCTTACTCTCCATAAATATAGTTTTGATTTTCTGTGCTCTCCCAATGAACCAAAGTTTTATTTTGTTTTCCTGGCACTGATATTTCTGGAAAATAAAGAATGATTGTCTATAACTCTAGCACAGCTAGGATTACCAGAACAGACTAAGGAGGACATGGACAATTGAAAAGAAGGACAAATGGCGGAAAAAAAGACACTGTTAAATTTCTTGGCATCTGTGAGGAAAATTACAGTGAAAACCCACAAAAAATGTTCTTAGGCCTACAGGTATATGAAATTACTTTTTCCAGCACCAGACTGTTTTTTCAATTTCAATATTTTTAGAACAAATCTTTGAATCTTTGTTTTCAAAAATATGTGCTGGTAATAATATAGAATTGATGAAGCCAAGCTTTGCAAATTTCACCATAGAAATGTATGAGTCATTTGATTTATAGATTATAGATCACGGATTTGAAGGGATTGGATTGAAGCCGATTGCTGGATTCTGGAAATAAATAATGTAAATTTAGACAGCAGATGAGGGACAGAAAGAAAGTGACCAGTTTCAATGACTAGTATTGTTAAAATATTGTTCTGAATAACAACAATAACATGATAAGTTGTCAAAAAGGCAGACAATGTGTAAGGACAAAGAAAAAGGCATGTCCTCCTTTTGCTGGGCGTCTAGTAAGTCTAAGCACCACACTGAACTCCCTCTTAATGGAAAGGCAGGATATAAAACTACAAATAGAGAAGCAAAACATGGAATTTATTCCATTATTTATTTCATTCTTTCTATACCACCCAAAGATCCTTTGGCAATTAATTCAATAATGTTAAGATCATAAGAGACATCAACAAATAAAGTAGAACTTAGATTTGGTGGATATTTATATCAGGAAATCCTTGTAAGCAAGGGGCTTGGGAAGTTTGAAAGGTAACAGACATAGAAGCATGGCCCAGTCTCACCTGTCTAACTCAAATTTCTGTTGAGAGACAGAAGGCAAAAATTTAGCAAATGCAAGATATACACATGTTCAATGTAAAGAAGCATGCTGGTGCTTATTCAAGTCAGTTTTATGGAGGGGTTGCTGTTTTGTTTAAACAGCAGATAAGGATGGTTTCTAAAGGAGACTGGATTCTTAAAAAAAATCTTAAATCAGACACAAAGTTACTTCCTCAGCTAACTCTTAGAGAGCTCTGGAAAAAACAGTTTCTGTTAATGACTCTTCATGCTTCTGCCAGTCTTCTCTCTGGATAATAAAATATACAACTGTAAACAGTCATATCTCATGCTGTGACCACACTGGAATGATAGCAAAGGAATGACAGCTAAGGACAGAAATAAGGATTAACAATCCAACTTGGAGATGCAACATATCTTTGGGAAGATTCAAATTACTTTAACAGAAAAACCCTGGAACAAGCCAGCTGCAATTATTAGAGCCAAGGGAAAGCAGCAAGGAATGCTGGACAGCTAACAATGGAACAAAAATACAAAAATAGGAAGTT